AAAAAGGATAGCATAAAATTGTAATTAACATATACATTCCGTTAAAATAGTTTGAACAAGAAACGTAATCCAGTGTAAAAAAATAATTTTATAGATTTTGTCATTTGATTTAACGAAAGATCCACAAATAAAAAGGCTTCAAATTGATAGCATTCTTTGCTTTTTGATCCTTTGCATGCGTGTTATAAATTTTACACTAACACCGGTTATCCGCCATTTTGGAGGGATATGAAAATATTGAGAACAAAGAAATACAAAGTAAAATCGACGTATTATGATAAATAAAGACTTATTGACGTAAAATTGTCAACAGTTGAACGGGTAAGATATGATAATCGGGGAATGTGAAAATAATCCTTACGAACTGAAATCGTTTTCCGAGGTTGTGAAATTACTACCAACTGTAACTTTCCTAATATTGTGAACTATCTGATTTTTACACATAGTCCGTACACAGCCGATGATTTGAAATGTAATAAAGAGTTAGATGCTTATAATCAATTCCTGTATGGATGGGTCTCATGTTTGAAATCAGTGATCATCAACAACAAACATGCTGTGAGAGCTAAGGTGAGAAGTGAAATGTTTTGTTATAACATCGTTGATATTTATCTTGGAACATTATAAATACAAGTGATGAATAGTGATCGTGAATATTGCTTGCATATTAAATGGTATTTATTAAAACAAGTTATATTTTGTAACATTTGTCATGGTCAGAGACACTAGATACCACAATATATTATTATATGTCTCTGGTCATGGCCAATTCTTTTTACATACTGTATGAATTTTTGTGTGTCTTGCATGCAGGTGCTGTGTTATATACAGTCCATGAAAGGCTGTAAAACTTTTGTGTCAAGCCACACACGTATAAATATAAGTGCCTTTGACATTTTATAATTTTAATAGCAATTTAATTTAATATATTAAACCTAATCTCTATGATTATTTACATGTAGATTTTACATTCCCAGAGATTGCGAGAAAACTCGTCGAATGCTTTGGTTACAATAGAGTCAAATGGGAAAAGTCTTGCTTCACATTGTGACTGCATGACAGGTATTGGCGAAGTATGTTTACATGTAGCCTCCATTCTGTTTACCATTGTGTGGACTGGTCATGTGCGTAACTGTTGAACTGTAACACAGGAGCCAGCTTACTGGCTACTTTCCACATCAGAAAAGAAAGTGAATTATTCAGAGACCAGGCACATCAACTTTACTTCAGCGAAAACACTTATAAAACATTTGAAAAAATGTGTGACAACACTGTGAATTTAAAAAAAAAAATTAAAGTTCAATAAATAAAACTTCGGGGCGACATTTAAGAAATAAAACGACGGGGGCTTATTAGCGTGTTTTCGTCCCGCAACCCCGCCGTTTTATTTCTTAAATCTCGCTCCGCGCCCCCGCGGGACGAAGTTTTATTTATTAAACTTCGCCCCGCGCCCACGCTAATTAGCGAGTTTTCGCTCCGCGCCCCACGACATTTAAACTTGTTAATTTTCGACTTTTGGCTTGGCGGGGTCGCGGGGCGAAAACACTAGTGGCACAAATCAGCCACCATACATACTTTCGACGCTTGCTTGAATACCAAAGCCCTTATCTGCCAGCATAAGAGCAACTGGTAAAATATTATGTAAAAACCCACAATTATCAGTTATGTGTTCATCACTGGTCCTCCCACCCAAATAACACCTTGTGGGGTTATACCAAAAATTTAACTGTGTTATGGTGTTTGTATGAGGACCAGGTTTCAGCTTTGGCTTTTAAATTTGATGGACGTTCAATAAAAACCTTGGAACAGTCTATAGTTACAGCACATTTAGTACCAAAATATTGTCGAAATTGCTTTGGCATTGTGAGCCTTAACGTCTTCCTGTCAGGCCAATGCCTTCATCCGAATATGCATTATATCAATTACTTCTGAAAATACCCTGGATACATTTGATTGTGAAATTATGCACTGATAAGACAAGAACTGGTTAAATCAGTCTGAGTTTGATAAGTGTCAACATCAAGGTTTCAAACTAGCTTAAAGACAGCTTAGTGGGTATGTTTGCTTCTAAGAAATAAAACAATGCAAAGAGCACAGAAAAACATGTAAATCCTGTGAAATACTTTTCTTTCTTTCATACATTTTGATCTGACAATTGATCTCATAATTCCTGATTTTGTTTTGTTTGTATATAAGATATTTGGCTTTGCATTGCTGTTATTCCTATTGAAGTAAGATCAGTTTGGCATAATGTACCTTGGTCAAGTGTACAGTCCTCCTCTTGTAACAGTGCTTCACAATCCTGTGAAATTCTAAGCAGGGTCCTTGCTGCATCGGTTTTTCTGTTTCTATCTTCACGTCGTTGAAAGCAATGAGTGGCAAAATAGGGTGATGTTAACTGTTTTGACCCCGTATTGACTGTAGGTGCCCTGTTAGGACTCCCTCTTTTTAATCTCTCCCTGCAAAAATAAAGAGTTACATTTTTAATATATTTACTTAATTAAATTCAATACTTATAATGCAGATTAAAATCATTTTAGCTGAAATAATACAGAATCAAATAGTTGTTGAAGGTGTGCGACTTGATTCTAGCCCAGCTGTAAAATATTTCCATAATAAATATAATTTTTCTCAACTTGTCAACAAACATGTATATCAACTTGGATTTCAAGGATGCACACATATTCTCAATCCCACTGTCTATGAAACTGTAATTAATTTAAACTAATAAAATGACTAAAATTAAACACATTTTAACGCTAACAAAATGATCTGAACAGACTCGGATATTTTTCAAATTTTTCCCAGCGAAGTCTTCATGTAAATTCGCCAACCACAAACGCCTTCTTTCTTCCGATACCATGTAAACAGTGCACTTTCGATATAAGCTACATAACTAACCGAGGTATATCGAGTGAAAAAATACGAATTGCTTCCTTTATCTTCTAGTTAAATCGATATCTCTTATGCTAAAACAATACAAATTAAGCCTTTTTAAACCGCTAGTTTGTTGTGATGTTCGATTTTAAAATTTATTACACCAATGGAAAGCGTTTGATTTTAGCTTCGTCACATTATATATTTCAACACATCTATTTAAACCTAACATATGCCTAGAGACGCGCAGATAGGAATAGCCTGTCGTCTGCTAGTTCGGAAGGTGTTTATTTCTCCCCTTCAAGGACAATCGATAATACTGTTTGTCATTATCCCTATCAGATCTTTTATGACATCCAAAAAAAACTCGACAATAGTTTAACCATTTTCAATAAACATCAATTGTTAGCACGTGTTTACACTTTACCGTCTTCTGACAATTATTCGGGTCATGACCTTATCTCCAATATGGCGACCGGCCTATCGATTACGTAATCTGCAAATGTTGTACAAAAACATAAAGGAATATACCTTTTATGTCAACCCACATGAACACATTCAATATTTTGTATTATCATATTTACCATCTTGTATGATTTTGACTTAATTTTACAAGGTCATCTCAGTATAAGATATCGTTCAAGTTTGATTTAGTTGCGCGTATTATCTAACCTTAACTTTTGGCAACATAAATAGATGGGTATTTCCAAAATTTTCTTAAGAATATGAATCACGAAAGAAATATTTTCATTTTCGTTTTCGTTGTGAAGGAAATTTGAATTTATGTGCATTTAGCATAAGTTGTGATAATAGAAAGGTACAAAATGATTTGGCAGAGATTAGCGATAACTACATTATTAACTATATGTGCAAGATTAAATTTGACTACAGGTAAGGCTAATGCTTTTTTTTCTTAAATAGATGTTTTCTGAAACTCGGCAAATTTGGGTTCTCCCATCTAATCTATGGCTACAAACAAACGTTTACAGTTTTATCACGATAGGGTAATCAAAGCGTTGCTTCTATTGTCAATATATATTATATTAACAAAGTTACGGCGATAATGTATATTGTAAAAAAGTATGATCAAGGAAATGCGCCCTAGAGCTGGTAAATTATGATGTCACTTTCACCCTATCTATTATCTACCGATAAACATAAAAAACTACAATTATATAAATCACATTGTCAAAGGCAACACTTGAATTTTATAATAACATAGGAACAAGTGGGCGCTCAATGGTTACCAAACGTAGAATTATTCCAGGGATGTTAATTTGTACAATAATCGATACCGCCGAGCTTTGTATAATTTATGTGCCTAAGGATGATATAAAATATCAACTGTGGAAATTTTATTCATAAGGCGATATTCGATGTGAACACAGTCTTGATTCAGATCTGCAGATGTTTCGAATTCAGTGATCAACTTTTCCATGAATGACTAACCTGCTTTCGGTGCACTCTATGATCTTAAATCTAAAAGTACAGACAAAATTATTTGTTGACATATTAGTAAACATTGCCAATTCATTATTTTGCAATGCTTTGATTTAAAATATCAGCGGTTGTAAAAGGTATAATTTTGTACATGTATTGTGTATCGAAATTGCTAAACTAGTAATAGAAAGAGCATCGAAACACGAGGCTTTCTGATTTGTACAAGGGGGCGTAGCCCACGAGTATTAATCAGACTTCCGAGTGTTTTGATGTTCTTTCTCTTTTGCATCATAGTCAAATACCTGTTGTCACAATATGAAACCCCGGAGAAAAGTAACCAATGAACGAGCATCTAAATATGACATTTCTGTCGATTCCCTGTCTCTGTCGTCACAATAAGTACCCCAGCAAAAATTAGCCAATCAATGGGCATGCTCTTGAATGCGGATAACTAATACCTGCACCCCAGTTAACGCACGGTGCATGTATATGTATACGATTTAACTCGGACACATTTTCAACAGAAAGGTCCCCAAACTATGATAAAAGTTTGTTGATATTGATTTTCCACGCGTGTAATTAGATAAAATGTGCATCGAGTGTGCAAAAGGCGTTGTATTCCTTGTGTTTATTTATAGTTTAGACGGGTACATTTGTCGTTATTTCTCAATTAGATCTATTTGCTTATATTTTTCAATTATTGATAGAATGTCAATCTCCTGTGGTTAAATCAATAACGTAAAGCAGTCAACCCAACGTTTTGTATTATTTAAGAATATGACTCACGAAAAATTCATAGAAATATTTTCATTTTCGTTTTCGTTGTAAAGGAAATTAGAATTTATGTGCATTAGGCATAAGTTGTGAGAATAGAAAGGTACAAAATGATTTGGCAGAGATTAGTGATAACTACATTATTAACTATATGTGCAAGATTAAATTTGACTACAGGTAAGGCTAATGCTTTTTTTTTTTTCGTAAATAGATGTTTTCTGAAACTCGACAAATATGGGTTCTCCCATCTAATCTATGGGTACAAACAAACTTTTGCAGTTTCATGGCGCATTATCATTCACAATAAGGTAATTGTCAAAAAATATGATAAACGAGGTCAACAAGGAAATGGGCGTTCAATGCAAACCCTAGAGCTGGTATAATATTATGTCACTTTCACCTCGATAAACTTTAAAACTACAACTATATAAATCACATCGTCAAAGGCAACACTTGAATTTTATAATAACATTGGAACAAGTGGGCGCCTAATGATAACTTAAGCTAGAATTATTCCAGGGATGTTAATTTGTACAATACTTGATACCGCCGAGCTTTGTATAATTTTTGTGCCTACGGATGATATAAAATATCAACTGTGGAAATTTTATTCATAAGGCGATATTCGATCTGAACAGAGTCTTGATTCAGTTCTGCAGATGTTTTGAATTCAGTGATCTACTTTTCCATGAATGACTAACCTGCTTTCGGTGCACTCTACGAAAAGTTTGTTTTGCTCGTTTGTACACTAGGAAAAGAGACTCTTGGTCATCCAGCATGCATCCATTTTTTTAGCTCGACTTTTTCTTTTTTGAAAAAAGTAGAGGTACTGAGTATTGTTATAGTCGGGTCGGCGTTGCCGTTGCCGTTCCCGTCCGCAAACTTGTACCTAGATCATAACTTTTTTATTTCTTGGTGTATTGTCTTCATACTTGGCCACAACAACCCTTGGGACAAGTAGACCACACTAACATTGACCTTCATCCATAAATGACCTTGACCTTCAAGGTTAAAAGTCCAATTTTTGCTTGTTCATGCTGTTATTGGCTGTAACTTTGTTATTTTTGAATGGATTGTCTTCAAACTTGAACATAATAATCTTCAAAGATAACTCTTAAAAATATACCGGAAGACCTTGACCTTCATTCATTAATGACATTGCCTTTGAAGGTTAAATTATTTAATTTTTCATTGTTTTGGCTGTAACTGACTGTAACTTTGCTATTATTGAAGGGATCAACTTCATATTGTAACAGAACATTGTTGTTTATCAAACCCAAATTTGCTTGGGCTCTTTAATGACCTTGACCTTGAAGGTTAAATTACTGAATTTTCTCAGATTTGTGCATTTAATGACCATAATTATATATTTATTGGTGTGTGTGTGTATATTTATATTTATACATATCATCATCATCATCATCATCATCATCATCATCAACAACATCATCATCATCATCATCATCATCATCAACAACAACAACGTATATTGCATGTTTCTATTTTTAGAATTGCGTGTAACTATTTATAGATTTGCGTGTTTCTATTTATAGAATTGCATGTTACTATTTATAGAATTGCGTGTTTATATTTTTAGAATTGCGTGTTTCTATTTTTAGAATTGCGTGATTCTATTTATAGAATTGCTAATTTCTATTTATATAATTGCGTGTTTCTATTTTTACAATTCCGTGTTTCTAATTTCAGAAATTGCGTGTTACTATTTTTTAGAAATTGCGTGTTTCTATTTTTAGAATTGCGTGTTTCTATTTTTAGAATTGTGTGTTTCTATCTATAGAATTGCGTGTTACTATTTTTAGAATTGCGTGTTACTATTTATAGAATTGCGTGTTACTATTTATAGAATTGCGTGTTTCTATTTTTAGAATTGCGTGTTTCTATTTATAGAATTGCGTGTTACTATTTATAGAATTGCTTGTTTCTATTTATAGAATTGCGTGTTTCTGTTTATAAAATTGCGTGTTTCTATTTATAGAATTGCGTGTTTCTATTTTTAGAATTGCGTTATTCTATTTATAGAATTACTTATTTCTATTTATAGAATTGCGTGTTTCTATTTTTACAATTGCATGTTACTATTTTTAGAAATTGCGTGTTACTATTTATAGAATTGCGTGTTTCTATTTATAGAATTGCTTGTTTCTATTTACAGAATTGCGTGTTTCTATTTTTAGAATTGAGTGTTCCTATTTTTAGAAATTGCGTGTTACTATTTCTAGAAATTGTGTGTTTCTATTTTTATAATTGCATGTTACTATTTTTAGAAATTGCGTGTTACTCTTTTTATAATTGCGTGTTTCTATTTTTAAAAATTGCGTGTTACTATTTATAGAAATTGTGTGTTTCTATTATTAGAATTGCGTGTTCTATTTATAGAATTGCGTGTTTTATTTTTAGAATTGCGTGTTTCTATTATTAGAATTGCGTGTTCTATTTTTAGAATTGCGTGTTTCTATTTATAGAATTGCGTGTTACTATTCATAGAATTGCGTGTTGCTTTTTATAGAATTGCTTGTTACTATTTATAGAATTGCGTGTTTCTATTCATATGCATATATACAAAATAGATAAATAAAACTAATGTGACAAGACAGACCAAATTAATTTATAAAAAGGAAATGTTAAGATATGTTCAAACCTTTCTATGTTTGCGTTTAGAAAAAGTAAAAAGTCGAGCGTTGCCCCCGCCCGGCGGTGGCTCTTGTTCACGAGTATTTTTACCAGCATTGTGTAGATTTGTCTTTCTTCCAGAAAGGTTTAGGGAAAGATTGAAGCTTTTTTTGTAATTAATTCGTTTGATGTTATTTTCATGGCCGACACAATAATCACACATTGTTTATTAATTTCACCATTGCTTATAATCGGTTAAAATCGGGCTTCTATGAGTTGTTCTGAGCCTTTAAGTCTTTCAGAGTATCTTTTAAATTCACCATTCTTTTCCAATTTATATGAATTTGACTATTTGCTTCGATATCTATTGAAACGTAACATAAATATGCTTAAAGACGCTTTATAGTGTTTGCTTCTAAGAATTGAAACATTGCACAGAAAATATGTAAATCCTGTAAAATGGTTAACCTCTTCATCATTTATTCACAGACTCCATACTTTATGGAGTTTCATATGACAATTGGTCTGATAATTCCTGATTGTTGTTTTATTGTAAATAAGATATTCTGCTTTGCATTACTGTTATTCCTACATATGTAAGATCAGTTTGGCATACTGTGCCTTGGTTAGTTGTAGAGTCCTCTTGAAACAGTTCTTCACAATTCTGTGAAATACTAAGCAAGGTCCTGGTTGCATCGGCTTTTCTGTTTCTATCTTTACGTCGTTGAAAGAGACCAGTGGCAAAATATGGTGATGTTAACTGTTTTGACCCCATTTTGACTGTAGGTGCCCAGTTAGGAGGACTCTCTTTTTCATATAAAGCTGCTTTTCTCCCTGTTAAAATAAAGTGTTACATTTTTAATATATTTACTTTATCAAATTCAATTCTTATAATGCAGATTAAAATCATTTTAGCTGAAATAATACAGAATCCAAAAGTTGCTGAAGGAGTCCGACTTGATTCTAGCCAAGCTGTAAAATATTTACATAATAAACATAATTTTTCTCAACTTGTCAACAAACATGTTTATCAACTTAAATTTCAAGGATGCACACAAATCCTCAATTGCACTGTCTTTGAAACGGAAATTAATTAAAACTAATAAAATGACAACAATTACCGCTAACAAAATGATCTGAACAGACTCGGATGTTTTTCAGAAGTGTTGATGTAAATTTGCCAACCACAAACCGACAATACACTCTTGTATCATAGTTTGGGGACTTTTCTGTTGAAAATGTGTCGAGTTAAATCGTATACATATACATGCACAGTTAACTGGAGTGCAGGTATTAGTTACCCGCACTCCAGAGCAAGTCCATTGATTGGCTCATTTTTGCTGTTGTTTACATATTGTGACGGCAGAGAAAAGGAAAGCGACAGAAATTTCATATTTAGATGCTCGTTCATTTGGTTACTTTTTTTCTTGGGTTTCATATTGTGACAACAGGGAACTTGATTTTATGTTTGACTATGATACAAAAGAGGAAGAACATCAAAACACTACGCCCTCTCGTACAAATCAGATATGCTCTTTCTATTATGGTGAAAAATTACGAATTGTTTCCCTTATCTTTGAGTAAAATCGATATCTGATAATCTCTAATGCTAAAACAATGTAAATTAAGCCGTTTCTAAACCGCTAGTTTCTTGTGATGTTCGATTTTATTTTATTACACCAATGGAAAGCTTTGCAACACATCTTTTGACACCAAAGTATTTAAATTAACTGTTAAACATACCATATGTCAGACCATTTTACATACGATTTATACAGTGAGACACGCAGATAACAATAGTTTGTCGTCTGCTAGTTTGGAAAGTGTTTATCGATGTATTATCTCATTTTCTCCCCTGCAAGGACAATCGGTAATACTCTTTCTCATTATCCCTATCAAATCTATTATGACATTCTTAAACTCGACAATAGTTCACCGTTTTCAATAAATATCAATTGCCATCCGCCTCGATGGAAGTGTTTATACTTTACCGTCTCGTGTCAATAATCCGGGTCATGACCTTAGCCGGCTTTTTGATTACGTCATCTGCAAATGGTGTAGAATAACGTAAAGCATTTATGCCTTTTATGTCAACCGACACGAAAACATTCAATGTTTTGTATTATTTAAGAATATGACTCACGAAAAATTCATAGAAATATTTTCATTTTCGTTTTCGTTGTAAAGGAAATTAGAATTTATGTGCATTTAGCATAAGTTGTGAGAATAGAAAGGTACAAAATGATTTGGCAGAGATTAGCGATAACTACATTATTAACTATATGTGCAAGATTAAATTTGACTACAAGTAAGGCTAATGCTTTCTTTTCTTAAATAGATGTTTTCTAAAACTCGGCAAATATGGGTTCTCCCATCTAATCTATGGGTACAAACAAACTTTTTCAGTTTCAAGGTGCATTATCATTTCAAAGCGTTGCGTCTATTGTCGATATATATTGTATTAACAAAGTTACGGCGATAATGGATGTTTTCAAAAAATATGATAAACAAGATCAACAAGGAAATGTGGCGTTTAAAGAAAATCA